GGACGAGGAGGTAGTACGCGATCTTTTCCAGGCGGACGATGTCTCTAGAATCTTGTCAACCCCGATCAATTTCAATTTTCCAGACTGCTGGAGATGGTTGGGCGATATCCGCGGCCGATACACTGTCCAGCATGGGTATCGACTTCTCATGAGCGAATTACCACTCAACGAAACTGGAGGCAATTTTCAGGCATGGACAGCTCTCTGGGCGTTACCGATACCTCCTAAGGTCAAGAATCTGCTTTGGAGGTGCGCTCGAGGTATTTTACCAGTACGAGATAACTTAAGAAAAAAGATGGTTTGGATCGGTGGAGGGTGTCCTTTTTGTGGTTGCCCGACCGAGACGACAAGCCACATTTTCTGTGAATGCCATTTCGCGTTGGAAATCTGGGAGCAGACTGATGTTTTAAAGGGACTGGACTTCCTCAGTTTCTTGCAGCATGTGTTTAGCAACCCCTCGATAGAGGAAGCGGCTAAGTTGGCAGCGATTTTCTGGACAATATGGCAGGCTCGAAACGACAAAGTTTGGCATGACAAATCCCAATCATTGTTGGCTGCAAAAACGCGAGTAGCTGAGCTTCAGACTGCTTGGACCTCGACTTTTGGCAAGCACAGCAATGCCGCAGCAAACTCAGCTGTACGGGATCAATGGATACCACCTCCATCAAATGTTCTCAAGTGCAATATTGATGCAGCCACTTTCGATCACGGTGCAGGCTATGGTGCAATCATTCGGAATCACGAGGGACGGTTCATAGCGGCAAATAGTGGAAGACTCAGTAATGATCGCGATCCTTTTGTGGCCGAATCCCTGGCAGTCATGGCAACTCTAAAATAGTTGAGGGAGCAACAGTTTAATAACATTATTCTCGAATCAGACTGTTTAAATTTTTGTACTGCTTTTAATTCTAGTTTTGTTGATTTCTCGTACGTAGGACTGATTGTAAAGCAATGTCGTTCGATTTCTAAGGACATTGGGGTATCTTCTATATCCCATCTTAGGAGATTAGCGAATCGTGTAGCTCATGCGTTAGCTCGGGCGACCGATTCTATGACTGGCTCCGAGATGTGGCTGCATGTGCCACCTACTTGTATTTCCGGTTTATTATGCATTTAAAGAATTGTTTCGGTTTGTTTCAAAAAAAAAAATATAAAAGGAAATTTAAAACTAAAACCGTCAAAACTTTGGAATTGTTTTTGGAAAGTTCAAATGTTCTATTCTTATTTAGTTATCTTTTTTCTAAAAACAAAAATCATTTACATGAGGAATTTAGATTGAATCGTAGGTTCTATTTTTTTTAATATATACGAAGTATAACTTTACTTAAAATTTTAATTACACACACACACACACACACACACACACACACACACACACACACACACACACACACACACACACACATATATATATATATATATATATATATATATATATATATATATATATATATAATAGGTTTAGCCGGTTTAAACGGGTTTCGTGTCGTATCGTGTCGACACGATCCGAAACTTGTTAATAAAACGTGTCTATCGTGTCAACCCGTTTAACCCGTTAACAAATCGTGTTCGTGTTCGTGTTAAAAACGTGAACGCGTTAACCTTAACGTGTCGTGTCCGTGTTTGGCCTTATCGTGTTCGTATCGTTATCGTGTCAACCTGTTAACGAACACGTATACACGAATTGCCAGGTCTACCTCTAGTCACAATGTAACTGAACTCAAATTAATTACTCAATACCCAATTCCTTAATCAAACTTGAATGACACAAAGCGTATTTAATTGCCTTAGTCATAGACATGTATTCTGCTTTAGTTGTAGACAAAGCTACAATAGACTGAACTGATGACCTCTAACAAACAGAGCCACCACAAGAGTAAGGACATACCCCATTATTTAACGCATGTTATCCATATCACCAACATAATTTGACTCCATATATACTTCGATCAAATAAGGCTCATTCTATTGACTCCTAAATACAATACGTAAAGAATTGCGACAGAAATTGTGGAAAACACGGAGTTACCAAAGCCAGATCTGGAGAAAAGACTAAACAACCCTTAGCCGACTAATCCAATCTAAAATATAAGTAATTAATTACTTAAAAGAGAAAATATAATACTTTTGAGGGTGAATCAACGATTTGGTCCCTCACTTATTCGCGACTTGTCAATGTTGCCCCTGAATCACGTATTCATCAATTTAGTCCCCGAAAATAATTGTTTTTCGTCAAATAAGTCCCTTAGGCCGTTTTCCGTCATGTCTCAGGCGAGACCTCCGATTTGCCCTGGGCATTTTGGTCTTTTCACGCCTTCTTCTTCATTAACTCTGACCAAACTTCGCCGGAGAAGCTCAAGCTCGCCGGAGGGAGCTTCATCTCTTCCGCCGACGTCAGCTTCACCTCCGATTTCAGAGCTTTCCAGAATCGCAAGCAAATCAAAGCAACACTACAACATTTTTACGCCCCGGTCTACTCCAGGGGAAGACAATCAAATAGAGAAAAAGCAACGCAGCAATGGTGTTGATCGAAGCCGTGCCATCCTCTGACGAAACGTCAAAGCCAAAACCGCCACCAGTCAAGGCGGCTGAAGCATCGACAGGCGCTGGTTCGTCCCCTGCGGCTGCACCGGCGGCATCTGGATATGGTTCCGATGGTTACGAGACTGCTAGCGATACCGAACTTAACGAGATCAATGAGGCAGAAGGGAAGAAAGAGGAACAAAACCTTAGTCACAGTAGTGTAAAGGACGAGAAAGCAAAAGAAGATTATGGGAGCCCTGCCACATCAATACCGTCGTCTTCTTCGGGTGGAAATGAAGAGGCGCCGAAACAGAAAATGGAATCCGACATGGATCAACTTCACGAGGTTCTCTCTCTCTCTCTCTCTCTCTCTCTCTCTCTCTCTCTCTCTCTCAATGCATATGACTCCGATGCTAAATTTGTATATGCTTATGTTACATTCAGTGATTTTGAAAAGAGTAAGCTAAATAAGGGAATAAATATCTTCTACTCTGCTGCTGGAGAATGATGTTTATGCATTGTGATTTCCGGCATTCATTGGAGCTTTGTAATCCAACGATGCGTTGGGGGTGCGCCGGCGATCCCCCGGCAGATCGCGGCGATAGGCGGCGGCTAGCTCCGTCTCGATCTCTTCTCTCTCGGTAAAAGCTGAGCAACAACAACATCCGACGGCGAGACAAGGTCCATGGACCTACATCTCCCCTCCCTCTCTCTGGTGGAATCACGAAGAGGCGGAAGTAGCAGATCGGAGCAGCGACCTCCGCCCCTGGCAGTTGATCCCTCCCGGCGAAGCAGCAAACCGGCAATGGAGTTTTCCGGCGAACTTAAGCTTCTCCGGCGAAGTTTGGTCAGAGTTAATGAAGAAGAAGGCGTGAAAATACCAAAATGCCCAGGGCAAATCGGAGGTCTCGCCTGAGACATGACGGAAAACGGCCTGAGGGACTTATTTGACGAAAAACAATTATTTTCGGAGACTAAATTGATGAATACGTGATTCAGGGGCAACATTGACAAGTCGCGAATAAGTGAGGGACCAAATCGTTGATTCACCCTACTTTTGATGAAAAAAAAAAATACTTTTACATCAAAATGTAAAAGTATTACATTTTCTAATATAAGTAATAGACATTTTATTAATGATTTAGTATTACAATTACTAGTATAAGTATTACATTTTATATTGACCCGATCCATCTCATGGACAATGATCAGTGAGACGGTCTTACACAAATTTTTGACTTAAAATTATAATATTATATTCACCATTTATTTTTAATTTACTTTTGCTTCTTTATTAATGGGTTACACTTGTGTGGGTCGGGTCGGGTCAATGTAAAAATGTAATACTCGTATTGAAAAATGTAATACTAATTAGGATAAGGTGTTTGTTACTTATAAGAAAAATTGTAATGTTTTTGAAGACAAATGTAATACTTTTAAATTTTGATTTAAAAGTATTACATTTTCCCTTATAAGTAATGTTGGCAAGTGTTTGTTACTTATAAGGGAAACTGTAAATACGTTTGAGGAAAATGTAATACTTTTTTATTCAAAATGTAAAAGTATTACATTTCCCATATAAGTAATAAACAACTTTTTTTTTTGAATACAACTGACTCTATTACAATGTAGTATCTGTTCATAACTACTTTCTCAGCCTATTGAAGCACAGAGCTAATATGCCTCCATTGAGGCTCAATCCCACAACCTCCCATATAAGGGAGTAACTTGGTGCCATTAGACCACAAGGTCCTTGGCGCATTTTATTCTTTATTAGTATTAAATTTTTCAAGTATTATATTTGATTTTGACTCGATCCGTCCCACGGACAAGGACCTGTGAAACGATCTTACACAAGTTTTTGCCTTATTTAATGTATTACCAACTAATTTACATTAAACCTAATAGGGTAGCTCAAGTGGCAAATGAGCTTTCTTTGTGGCGAAAAAATTTCAAAATAACCTAGATTCGATTCCCACAAGTGACGAGAGGATCGCTCGACCTTCTAGTTGGGACTCATCAAGCATGTCATATCTCGAGCTTGGGAATGTGCTTTCCACTATAGTAACAAAAATTGTGCAGGAATATTGATCTCAAATGAACCACTATTTACAACCCTTGCAATCCCAACTCTGATGTCTGCAATCCATTTTGAAAATCAATCAACCGCCTGTCTATCTTCCACTGAAGCTAGTTCCGTAGTCTCAAGTTCTTGGTGAGCCATAATACCTTACAATTTGTCCATAGGTATGAAGAATTAATATTTGCTCTGACAACTACTGGTCTTGTTGCTTTCGAAATAACAAGTAGGATCTATCTAAAATCGCCGCCCAAAACTATTGTCTTTCCACCAAAAGTCTTTTTAGCACTACCCCATTTGGCGAACCTCAATAGATCCCTCATGGTGTTGTCCAAAGCCTCAAGATAGTGTTTGTGCGTCATCAGTGTTTCATCCCATATTATCAATTTGCTCCTTATTATAAGGTTAGCAAGGTCACTGCCTTGCAATATATTGCACGTGGGATGGAATCTTTATTCAAGGAGAGTGGTATAGCAAATTTGGAATGCGTCATCATGCCTTCCGGCAAGAGCAAAGATGTCATTCCCCTGGAAGCAACATTCAGAACAATATCACCGTGACTCCTTATCTTTGATGATAACGTTCTCCACACAAACGTCTTGCATGTTCTTCCGTAACCATACACAAAGAACAATCCACCTCCATTGGAAGCAATATCATTCATCACAGAGTCGTAAACATTCTTTTGCTCATCGGTCAATTGTGTTACCAATGTTTCATGCTTTGCCTTCAACAATTCTTTGTCATACGCCAACTCTTCAGCTATCAACATGTTTTCACTCAAAACTATGCTAGTTTCGTCTAGAATTGGCATTTCTAAGAAGTCTTTCAGACTCTTCCCCCCAGAAAGATAGCAACTTCTCCAACTCCACCAAAGCAAACTGTTTTTTTATCTAAATCCGATAACATCAACTCTTAAAAGGAAAAAAAAAAACAAAAAAAAAATAATTTATTTATAAATAATGAAAAGTAAATAACAAAGTCGAATAAATAGATTGGAGTAAACTAAATATCATTGATTCAATATTGAGTAGTGACGGAAAAATAAGAATAGGAATTTTAATATTGTTGTATTTTTAATATTAAATAAATTGCTGAATATAATATTTGTTGTTATAATTTATATAATTGTATATCGATTCAAATATTCTTAAAATTCTAGTATTTTCACCCTTGCGTTGCACGGAATTGATTTGTTATAATTTTTAATTCCTGAGATTTTAGGAAGAAAAAAAGATAGTGATAAGTCAAAATTACTCCTTCCTTTTTAACCTAAAATTAATGCCTAACAACAACAATGGACATTTTTGACTTTATACTACTTATTCGCTTTCAATTCCCATGTATACCAAACATTAGAATTGAAATTCCCAGTAATTCTATTCATATAAACCAAACACTGGAATTTAAATTCTCACTTTATTTCCAGTAATTCATCTCCCATGGAATTGCAATTCCTTTCCCACGTAATTCCTCCTCTCCAACCAAACGCCCTATATAGGACTATTTTATGTGGGAAGTTAAAATGGAGAATTTTGTTTATATATATATATATAGTATAGATAATTATTATTATTATTATTATTTGTAATATAAATATTTAAAATCTAAATAAATCTAATATTTTATTTAATATAAAGTATTAATATTGGGCACATATTTTTGCACGCATATAAAAACTAGTCATATATATATATATATATATATATATATATATATATATATATATATATATATATATATATATATAGAGGGACGCACTCAGGTGCGAATAAGTGCCCAGGAAGGAAATGCGAACGAATCAGCGCGTGACACGTGTCCAGATCTAATAACTTAAAAAAAAACGCGGTGGTATTTTCGTAAATAATTGAACATCGAAGTGCAAGTAAAATCTCTTATAAGTGCACCTATTTTCACCTATAAGTGCATTTAATTTTGCCTTGTTAGCATTCACTTTCCGCAACCATTCATGCACCTGGGTGCGCTTATAACTATATGTGCAACTATTTATAACTATTGGTGCAACTACTTATAACTATATGTGCACCTACTTTCACCTATAAGTGCATGTAATTTTGTCTTGTTAGCATTCATTGATCTGAGTTCAGCGGGTAGTAACACTCCTGAAAACCACTCGCAAACATTCATACACCTAGATGCAACTACTTATACCTACGTGTGCAACTACTTAGAACTGTAGGTGCAACTACTTAGAACTATAAGTGCAACTAAGTATTGATGCTCAGTGTAAATTTTTACTTGCACCTATAATACATTTTACATGCACTTGTAATACATTTTACTTGCACTTCGATGTTCAATTATTTACGAAAATGCCACCGCGTTTTTTTAAAAAATCAGTGTTTCTCATCCATTAGATCTGGACACGTGGACGAACAGAATCCATTCATATTTTGTGCCTAGGCGAGCCGTTCGCACCCGAGTGCAACTCTCTATATATATATATATATATATATATATATATATATATATATATATATATATATATATATATATATATATATATATATATATATATATATATACACACATTACATGTTGAAGCCAATAATTAATTTGTACAAGTGTGTTAAGTTCTTTTCGCACTCACTAGTCAACAATCTTTGGAAGAATGATTTCACGCATACACATCAACAGTCTTGCGCCGGTTACGGCGTGGATGCGTTGACTGCCATTATATGGCAATGTGTGAGATATACCCTAACTAAGCATATCTCAGTAATTAAATTAATTAACCAAGTGTCCAAGTTGACCCGAATTAATCAATCCGTTCAAGAACGAAAAATGAATATAGAATGTGGGAAGTATTTGAGCAAGATGAGTCAAAGATGAATATTATATTTAATTGAAAGAATATTACAATAATCATCTTCTCCAAAATATTACAATAATCATGTTTTACTAATACATGATATGTTTAAACAAGACAAGTACAAGGGACACTATTTATACAAGGTACGCCCGAGCAACCATCTGTGCAACTCGGGTACCGTTCGCTAAGGGCAGGTAGTTATAAGTTCCCAACTGACTATGCCGTGCCCACCTGCCCCAGTTGAAGCATCATGACGACCCGACCCCAGCCTTGTGCCAAACCACTTTGGGCTCACTATGAGGCCTACCCCAAGGGCTAGCAATCGTTATGCTATGGACACGTGTCCAGCATGCATTGTGGACACGGTAATGGTGCTGTTAATGGCACCGTTATCTTCCACTTTTTTTTTAAAAAAAAATTTCAGATCGCTTCATTATAGGAGTATATGTTCATAATTTTATCACTATATGTTCATAATTGTAAGTTCATAATGTCAGAGCTTTGTGTTCATAATTTCATAACTGTACATTCATACTTCCATAACTGTACATTCATAATTCCGTAACTGTACATTCATAATTCAATAACTGTAAATTCATAATTTTCGAAGCTCTATGTTCACAATTTTAGAACTCTATGTTCATAATTTTATCACTATATGTTCATATTGTAAGTTTATAATGTCAGAGCTCTGATTCTATAACTGTACATTCATAATTCAATAACTGTATATTCATAATTCCCTAACTGTACATTCATAATTTCATAACTGTACATTCATAATTTTCGAAGCTCTATGTTCACAATTTTAGAGCTCTATGTTCATAATTGTAAGTTCATAATGTCAGAGCTCTGTGTTCATAATTCAATAACTTACATTCATAATTCCATAATTGTACATTCATAATTCCATAACTGTACATTCATAATGCCACAAATGAATAACGCCGTTAACGACGAGACAAAATCAATTTTTTTTTTAACTAGAATGCCGTGTTTTCCCTGAAAATAACGTCGTTTTGGACTCGTGTCCACAATGCATTGTGGACACGAGTCCACAACATAATTTGCAAAGGGCTAGAGCTCGGGCAGTTGTTATGTCGTGAAACTGTGTCCACCTTGTTCCGAGGTATGGTTTAATATCATTAATATGAATATGAAGTACAATAGCTCACACATGATTAGTATTTTTGGCTCTTAGCACTCAATCAAATAGATTGAGTTAGGAGCTCATAGAAAGAGCTAGCCAGGCTATTTTCTTCTTTCGCCTCCTTTTTCAAAGTATTACATTTTCCCTTATAAGTAATGTTGGCAAGTGTTTGTTACTTATAAGGGAAACTGTAATACGTTTGAGGAAAATGTAATACTTTTTTATTGAAAATGTAAAAGTATTACATTTCCCAGATAAGTAATAAACATCTTTTTTTCTTTTTTTGAATACTACTGACTCTATTACAATGTAGTATCTGTTCATAACTGCTTTCTCAACCTATTGAAGCACAGAGCTAATATGCCTCGATTGAGGCTCAATCCCACAACCTCCCATATAAGGGAGTAACTTGGTGCCATTAGACCACAAGGTCTTTAGCACATTTTATTCTTTATTAGTATTAAATTTTTCAAGTATTATATTTGATTTTGACTCGATCCTTCCCACGGACAAGGACCTGTGAAACGATCTTACACAAGTTTTTGCCTTATTTAATGTATTACCAACTAATTTACATTAAACCTAACAGGGTAGCTCAAGTGGCAAATGAACTTTCTTTGTGGCGAAAAATTTCAAAATAACCTAGACTCGATTCCCACAAGTGACGATTCCCTTTGGGCCAGTTCCATGCCTTCCGAAGCGAACGGTGACTTTGACCGTTAAATGGACATAAAAAGACCCGGACCACCTTGTGGTTTACCCCCAAAAAAATTGATTGACATTAAATATTGTTTGTAATTTTTTTTTTCCTTTTTCGTCCTTAAATTAAATGAGATAAAAAAAAATAGAATATTTTTTCAGTAATATTTTTAAGAATATACAAAGCATTTTTGTTTAAAAATAGGAAAAAAAAAAAAGGAATTATTTGATGTTGACTTGGTCAATTATGTGTGAAAATCCACTCACTAAGCAGTTGGTCAATTTATTAGGAAATTATTGATTATTCTTCCAAAAGGTTGAACCCCAACCCTAACAGCGCCCCACATCCCGACCCGACAAAGTATTTGGGAGGATGTAAATCATGGTAACTCAACTGAACATGAACCACAGAGGCTAGACCTTTGCTCACTGCGCACAAGGAACCCCCCTCACTTGGAAATTATTGATTATTGGACTTACTATTGGAGTCATTTATAGCAGTAATCGTTATACCCTGCACCACGGCGCACACAGCACTGTGCGCCCTGTGCCTCCCAAAACGACGTCGTTTTGTTAAGTTGTGTAGGAAGTTGATGCAATTATGTACATTATGTATACAATTATGTACATTTTTTTTATACAATTATATACATTTTTTATACAATTATGTACATTTTTTTATACAATGATGTACATCCGAAATAGGGAATTTATGTGTATTATGTTAAGAGTTTATGTGTATTATGTTAAAAGTTTATGTGTATTATGTATTATGTTATATTATGTGTATTATCTTTTCAAAAAAGAGTATGTACATTCTGTTATATAATTATGCACATTCTGTTATATAATTATATACATTCTAGTATACAATTATGTACATTTTTGAAACATGAGATTTTTTATAAGAAAATTAACAGTCGACACAGGAAAGCAAAATTCTCCAAAAAAAAATCCAAAACGATGTCGTTTTGCACCAGGGCGTACAATGCAATGCGCGCCCTGGTGCACGATATATATTGCCAAAAAGCAGGTGATGATTTCCAACTCGTGACTTGGTCAATGTTTACCTCATATATATGAGCTAGCTACATCTTCTTGCAAAATTTTATCTCTAAATATATATACCTTT